CCCCGCCCCCCGCCTTTCCCTCGGCCTCAGTTTCCCTCACAATGGACCAGGTCAGGCCCGGAGCAGTCCGGGCTTCCGCCTGGCCCCAGCCTTGGTTCTAGCAGTTGGGGCAGCTCGTGTCCTCAGCTGGAGCGCCGCGGGGTCCTTGACTGAGCTCGGCCCCTCAGCGCCCAGCGCAGTTCGGGTGAGGAAGTGGAAGGAGTGGATACACTCGAGTGAGAAAGCCCCGAACCTGCACCCACTAAGTTGTTTTTACCTCCTGATGTTGAAACCCGACTGGCGTTCTTGAGTGTGTTTTGTTTGAGCCAATCTGGAGCCCCCGCCCAGTTATCTTCTTGCTGCTCCGCTGTCTGGTGGCAAACCTTGGTTTAAAACGAGCCCAGCTGCAGTCGGCCAACCCTGCCGCTACGCAGTTGGCCTTGAGTCCAGCAGACAAAAATCATCTTATACAGGTGAGGCATCTGCCTGGGGGCGTAATTCCGCCTTCATTAGCGTATTTGATGGCCGGTCTTCGCCGGCTGCTGGAGCGAGCAGCAGCGTCCCCAGAGCCTGGCCACAGTGCTTGGCACATAGTAGGTGCTCATGAATCGTTACTTGGGCACACGGTAGATGCTCGTTATATTTTGGGCAAGTGGATACACAGTAGGTGCTCATGACTGTTGCGTGAACGAACGTAGACTATGTGTTCATTCCATTTTAAGAGGATGAACACATAGTAGGTGCTGGTGGCCTGTTGCATGAATGGACTCATGACTGCAGCGTGAATAGACACAGAATAGGTGCTCATGAGCTGTTGGGTGATAGATGCAAGGCCAGTAGGCCTGTAAGGTAGTGATTTGGATGTGACCCCACCCCCACTTGGGTTTCCCTCGTGTGGATTGTGTGGAGTGAGGTCCAGTTAAACATTAGCCGGCAGATGGGCCTGGCGGGAAGTCCAGCTTCTGCACCTAGCGCCTCCCAGGAGGGGGCTGTTAAGGGCCAACTCGCCTGGTTCACTGACCAGCGGGTACGTGGGGAGGGGCGGAGGCTGAGGGACGCAGAGCGCCCCCTCCCGGCGTCCGGGTTCGTGGGGATTCAGCCAGCAGCGCAGCTCTGCAGTCCACAATGTCACAAAGTCTTATCCCTGCCAGGTTAGGCTCCAGCCCCGGGGAAATCCAGGTGTGCGAAAAAGGTACACAAGGGGCTGATTTTATATCAGTTAAAAATGCTTACTGAGTTTTTGCAGGATGCCAGCCACTGTACAACAATGCAACAAAGAGTGACAACCTCAGTTGCCCTTGCTCTCCTGGAGCTTATAGCCCAACAGGAACTGAATCCAGCGACCAGGGGAATCCAGTGATCTCCAAGCCATAAAGGGGACTTTATTAGCAATCACTACCAGGTGTTAAGCCTGATCCAAGGCTTGTCAATTCCAGGACCCAGCTAGTGTCCCCTTGGCTTCAAATAAGTCCCTAAATTGACTCTTGCAAATGCAACAAAAATGAAGAACGCTATAATTTTGGTGGAGTTGACCCAACCAGAAACCCCCAGTTCTCAGCCAGACCAGTTCTTTCTCTGTACCAGATGCTTTACTTTAATTATATCTACAACAACCCTGAGGGTGGGTTCTATTATTATTGCTGTTTTACAGAGGAAGAAACTGAGGGCACAGAGAGGTTAAGTACTTCGAAGCTGGTAGGAGGCACAGTACAGACTGCAATCTCAGTCAGTCTGATTCCAAAGCTTGTGTTATAATCTGCTATGTCCCTGGGGCATCAGATAACTGGCAGGGTGGGGTTTGGCGACATCTGAGAGGGCCAGGCTTTGAGAGTTTCAGGAAAGTTGGCTTTTCCAGGAGGCAACACCTACTATAGCATATAGCAGTCAGGCCAGGCCAGGCATCCTCCTTCTTAGTGAAAGGTAGGTGAGGAGAGATGTCTTCCTTCCTCACCATCATGCTGAGTTTCCTCTCTCCAGAGTCCTAACTCTAAGCACCCATTCTTTGTTACTTGCTCCCTCCCAAGTGTTATGGACTATCTCCCCTATTAGACCCTAAATTCCCCAAGGAGTAGGGAGTAGGATACAAGGGCATTATCTGCTTTGCCACTCCCCCGCAGAGTTCTGCCCAGGGTCTGGAATATAGTATATACTTCATAAATATTGCTGTTATGAACTGAATGTTTGCATCCTCTCTAAATTCATAGGTTGAAGCCGTAATCCCCAATGTAACTGTATTTGCACGTGGAGCCTTTAGAAGGTAATTTGGTTTAAACGAGGGCATAAGGGTAGGGTCCTCATGATGAGATCAGTGCCCTGACAAAAAGAGGGAGATAAGATCTATTTCTCTTCCTCTCTCTCTCTCCTTCCCTTCCTCTCTCTGCCATGTAAGGACACAGCAAGATGGCCATCTGCAAGCAAGGAAGAGAGCACTCACCAGGAAGTGAATCTGCGGGCACTTTCACCTTGGACTTCCCAGACTCTGGAACTGTGAGAAGTAAATGTGTGTTGGTTAAGCCCCCCAGTCTATGGTATCCTGTTATAGCAACCTGAGCTGACTAAGAAAATTGCTGATAGATAAATTTTGGGGACTGAATCTTGTCCTGTAATCTTTCATCAATAAACATATATTGACCATCTCCTAGGTTCCCCATTCATTCAACAGATGCTAATTAAGCTGTTATGTGTTTATTCAACATTTACTGAGGGTCTACTATGTGCCCAGAGTTAGACAACCCCATCTATATTTTCAAGGAGATCTCTCAATCTAGCGGGGACCCCCTGCCTGTCAGTACTCAGAGGGGAAGTGTTATAAACACAGAAGCAGAGCAAGGACGATGGGCCAGGTACAGAAACTCATCAGGGCAGAAAGCCCCAGATGCCTCCCAAGGGGCAAAAGTGGGGAAAAAAGAAGCTTGTCCCCAGGGTAACCTGTCCTCCCCTAGCATATCCCTGGTCATGCCTTTAGACCCCCTGAGCAGTTCCTCCCTAAAGATAACATCTAGACCTCAGTTGTACTCCAGCTCCAAGCCCAGAAAAGCAGCAAAACCAGACAAGTGATGCCTTGGCTGCCTCAGGACCAGCTACATTGGCTAATGACCCCCTGCCCTGGCACTGACCATTCAGTGGAGACCACGACCCTGAAAGAGTGAAAGAGTACACCTGGAAAGCTGATGAATATTCTATTGAGACACTCCTCTGAGACCTCCCCCAAGATTTCCACCTGCAAGAGAAAGATAAGTAAGCTCAGGACAAGACCCAGTGTGTGCTCCCCACTAGGGGAGCAGGCCAGCGCCATTCCTTCCCCCTTCTTCCCTCCAAAGGGATCCCATGAGACTTGCAACCAGGGGAGCAAAGGGCAGCAGCAGCTCCTCCTGGGCTTACCCCTGAACCTGTCTCCAAGGCCCCCTTTTCTCTCTGACTTCCCAGTGAGCCAGAGCAGCCCAGCCTCAGCTCTCCTGTTGCTTCTTCTGTGCACCTTCCTTGTTTCACTGTCCCAAGAATATTTTTGCTGCCATCATGGACCCAGTACCCTTTGGCTCAGTGCTGTATAGCTCTTCCCTTTGGATATCCCCATTCCCCATCCCCTTTTCCTTAAATAAATTTAATTTTTCTGTATTCACCATCTGAGATGGCTATTTAGCCTGCCTGCGCATCACTGACTTTAACCTTTCAGGAAGTGGCTCACATATTCACACACATGGCTCTTTAATGCACAATGCTAGCTCCAGCAGGAAACTCAGTATAAGCACAATTTTTGTCTTTCTAGAACCGTTACTCTATCTAAGGAGCTGAGAGTGAACATGAAGAAGGGAGCCATAAATCCTACATTTGCAGACATAGGAGAGATGGCAGGAACCAGGACAGATGAATGGCAGCACACCATGAACTCTGGCATTGAACTTAGCCCAGCTCTTGGTTCTCTCTGAACCTTAGTTTCCTGTGTGAGGCTCAGTGGAGAGGGTACACAGAGGACTTCCACCAATTCCAGTGGGGAGAAGGAGCAGTGTGACAAATGGTAGCTATTATTATTAAGGAAGCCTGCAACTAACTATGAGTGGGACCAGGCACAAGAATGCAGTGATGGAGAAAGTGAGATCAGGATGACTTATTAACCTTGAATTGGCATCCTGATGAGAGTCTCTCCAGTTGGCACTGTCTTGCCTTGCCTGCTGGCTTGCCCTGCCTGCAGGACTGGGGCAGACTATGGGTGGAGTGTTTATTCTGGGAAGCAGCCCTGGCTGCTCTTCACACCCTGTGCCAGTGAGAAAGGAGGGCTTCAAGTCAGAACTGAGGCCCCTTCTGGGCCTGGCCTGGCCCTTAAGATCCTACCCACCTGCCTGAAGGGCCCAGGGCTGAGAATGCCCAGGAGCCACAGCCCAAGGGTCAGCTGGGTGGTTCAGGTTTGGGACACACCCTGTGGGACTCACCTGACCCTCAGGAAACTGGTCCTGGAGGGCCTGAAGTACTTCCCTTTTGGAGTTCTTGGAGGTGAGATTCCTGGGCTGAGGGGTGGGGGTGAGTGACACTGGAGGTGGGGTTGTGACTTCTCTGTCCCTAGCAGAGCCCCTGAGTGCTTTAATCAGGGTCAGCTTCATGATATCCACCTGTGCAGTCCCACAAACCTGGCGCTTAGAAGGGCTCATGCTTTGGGACTCAATATTCTCCCATCACCGTCTTGCAATTCTTAATCTTTTTGTTGTTGTTAATCTTCACCCTGAGGATATTTTTTCCATTGATTTTGAGAGAAAGTGGAAGTGGGGGGAGGAGGGGTGTAGAGAGACTAAAACATCCACGTGAGAGACACATCTATTGGCTGCCTCCCACATACACCCCAACCAGGCTGGGATTGAACCTGCAACCCAGGGACGTACCCTTGAGCGGGAATCCTACCTAGGACCCTTTAGTGCTTGGGCAGATGTTCTAACCACTGAGCCACACCAGCCAGGGCTCTTGATCATTTTTCAACACAGGGCCCCTCTGTTTTCCTTTTGCACTGGGTCCAGCCAAAGGTCCAGCCTGTCCAGCCTTCATGCTTTCGTTTCCCCTAGTATGTAACTCGTGCCTCCAGTGGGGCATTCAGACGCACCCCTCAGCCACACCCAGCCATCCAGCAGTGCCCAGATAAGCCCATTTTGGGGGGCAAGCACCTCCGGAAAAGCCCAAGACCTGCTGTGTAAATAAATGGTGGGTACCTCACTCAACTTTTCTGAGCTTCTGGATGACAATATTGTACTTACCTCAAGTGGACTGTTGGGAGGATTAAGAGAAAAGTTCATATAAAGGGCACGGTGCCTAATACAAAATAGGAGCTTAATAAATTAGGACTATTACATTTTAAAAATGAGTATTATTACAGGCGCTATCTTGGAAGGAGGGAAAGAGGGAGCGGCTAGCCCCGGATCCCCACGGACCTGCCCCAGGAAGGAGGAGCCGCCCCTCCTGCCTTCCCAGGGAAGAGACCCCCCCCCCAACCGAGGGCAGGGACGAGGGGGCGGAGGAGCGGGAGCGACACATTTTTGAGTCGTGACCAAGTGGAAACTCCCTCCCCGAGGCGGAAGCCGGGGGCGCCCCACTGGGGCCGGAGCCTCCAAGGGGGCGGGACACGCGGCCAGGGGGCGGGGCGCCGCTGGGGACCGGGTCCCGCCCTTCACCCTCCTCATGAATATG